ATGAAATCCAACCTTGCATAGGGTGCGAAATACTAGCAATGCATCACGCTGTCCAATGCTCATGCTCTCAAGCTCAATCCCACTTAGAAAATAGAAGGGCTTCAGTATTAAGCATCCCAAGGGTACAGAGACAACTATAATAAAGAGATTAGAAATTTATGCATAAAGAGTGCTATTGAATCTTTACCGTTTGGTTTTTTTACCATCTTCAAGATGCACAGCTTTGTCAAGAACAGCCTCTAAGCCCTACGTGCAAAAGTGTCATGGACAAAAGAGGCCACAAAGTAAAGACAAACACTTTGGCAACATACAAAGTGTTAAGAAAAGCAAAAATGTTTGATTAGCAATACACAGGTTATGAAGAAAGTGATATTTATTCTCAGAAAATTTTAGATTAGATAACTGGTCTCAAAAGTCAAAACACCATTTGCTCACAAGAAATGCTTTTTACTTTCATCAGATTGCTATGACTTTTTTTTTCTCTTTGGAAATTGTTTGTACTATGAATTGAACAGAATATATATCTTGGATTAGATAACAGAAAATAGCTTCTGTTTCCTTTCTAGAAAGCATTTTTTCCCTTGAGGAAAGATAGAAAGCAGACTCAAACATATTCATCTTTTACGAAGAGAATATTTCTTTTGGAAACAGGAAAACAAACAAACCCTATGCATACAGTGAGTAAATAAACATACCTTGATATCAGCACCACCAGCAAGAGAATGGAGTTCTTCAACAGATGCAAGTGTGGTGCCTTTAACTTGGTTAAGTGCATCTCCTAAAGTCATCTCTTTCTCATTTTCATCACCAGGAGAAATTTCTTCACTTTTTGAGCTTGAATTATCTACTGAAGCAGCTTCAACTTGCACGGATGATGTAGAAACCTGAATTCCCATGAAGCATTAGTGCCCTCTTAGTGGAAGCAACTTAACTGTTTCCTTCCTTGTTTGTAAAAATGGATAATCAAGATTTTGAGAAAATAAGACTTCACACCAGATCAGTTTCCATTCTCCGGAAGATGATGCTAATCATCTGTGTCAACATTGCTTTAGATGTGGCTTGATTTATGGGGCTCTTGCTGTAAATCCAAATCACATACAGTGAAAATATAAGTTGATGATACTTACATGTTTTCTAATGAATGTTAAATATACCTGTTAAGAGCAATATTGTAGCATATTCTGATTACTCCGAGTAAAGGTTCCCCGTGCACTGCATTCAGAATTGATTTTGGATAAGAGAGCATAATTTAGTAAAGTGTAAAAAAATAAAAATATATACGCACAATCACTCACAATGGCACATATTACTTCAATCAAAACTTATATATACTCACTGGCCTAATTTATAACAGACCGTCATAATCATAAATCCTAACAACATACCTCTAAACTTTGAGGAAGCAACAGCAGTAATAAGTACCTTCAGCACTTGCAGTACGGTACTGTACATTTTACTCAAAATTAAACCAGGGAAAGAAGCAAAGTTTTATTAAGAAAGAGATTCCAAGCACAAGCAAATAACTACCTATCAGATGAAGAGTTATCAACACAGCTGCAGACCATGTTCAAAATGTCGGTAAAAAGTGGCACATTCTTGCCACCATCTAAACCAGGATCTCCCTCTAAATGATCATAAGCAATGAGTTTCTGCAATCACCAAATTTAAACAGAACTCATTAGAATACATTTGAACAGGGAAGAATATAACAACAAAGGAGGATTCCTAAAGATATATGCGGTTTAACTAGAGATCTGCTCTCTTTATGAAATTTAAACATCTCAGAAAATACCACTATCTAGGAAGTAAACAATACATCATTTAGGACCGATTGATGCATACATGCAGACAATCCAAAGCAGATTCAAGGATTTTTAAATTTTTTGTCTCAAATGCTAGTCGAAGAGGATTCAAAACAAGCTCTGCCTCAGCCCCTTCTAAGGTATGGCCAGCATTTGCTAAGGTAGTTGTAATGGCTCCACTTGCAGCAGCTGGGTGACTAGCCCCCGCTGCAGTATTTGGAGCTATATGTGATTCAGACCCTCCAGACTTTCCAGCCACCGCATCAGTTTCTTGTAAACTACAGGAAAAATATGATTCATAATTAGTTTACTCATTTAAATTTTAAATTTTTTGATGTACATACAAAAGATTACTTTAAGGATCAATAATTTCATCCATTTATGGGATAATGTAATGATATCAATAATGATACTATAAGAAACTAGGAGATACTTTGACTAGACGCTAAACAGTCATTTTGGGCCATTTGCATTATAGACTGAAGTTATAATGTAAAATGGTTTAACAGAAATTGTAGAATGGATTCACCTCCCATCTCCACCCATTGCTCCTTGACTAGCTTCACCGATTTTGGAACTCTGTTTCACCTCCTTCACACCATCTAAAAAAGCATGAAAATATAATAAACGAGTAAATAAATGAATAATGAGACTATTAGCAATTTTACATGACAATACAGAGGAGATAAAATGATTAATTCAGAAGCCAGAGAAACCTTCATAAATATCATTAGAAGACCAACCATAGCAAGAAATTGAACCCATATCTCTAAACTTATCCATTTTTCCCCACAAGGGAATATTTTTCTACTATGAGTACATACAAATTCGTAACATCCATGTTTAAGCAGCAAACCAAACTCAGAATAGCCTCAAGGCCCTAGTATAAAGGATGCCAAGAAATCCAATCAACAATGATTTCTGGGGATAATCCTTCCATACTCAAGTCCATAATATGCAGTAAATAAAATATTTCTTGGGAGGCTTGCTAGGAGAGGATTTTGACTATTGATAAGTTGAGAATTAGAGGAAGAGTGAGGATTAACGGTTGCTACTGTTGCCTGCAAGCTGAGGAAACGTGTAACCATCTCTTATTATGGTGTCCGTTAGTTTACAGCCTATGGTGCTTGATCTATGGCCTTATGGGATTGATTGGATCATTGTTGGGTCTGTTGAGGGAGAAATATGGGCTTGGAATGGGCTATATGTAAAAAAAAAAATGGCTAACTTGATTACTTTAACTGTTTTCTGGGTCATTTCAAAGGAAAGAAATGGTAGGGCTTTTGATAGTATTGAGAATGGTATCAATAGATTAAAAGATAGGTGGATTCATTATTTTGATTCTATTTTGTTAGACGATGACATTACTAGTGATGTAAATTTTGTAAATGTCAATTATACGCTAACATGATTTAAATCTTTTGTACATGGGTGAGACCCCCTTTTTGGTGCCTTCTTAATACATACTATATATTTTTATTTCCAAAAAAATAAAATATGGATATGTTTGAATACTTGAGATTTTTTTAAGATAAAAAATTATATTAGCTTCTTACTTGCCAAATCACAAACTAAATATTTTTTTTATAAAAAAAATGTCACCTATTCAAAAGAGATTTACATAAAATCAAAAACCAAATATCTATAAGGTCCCCAAATCCTCTCCATCGAGGATAGGAAAGCATGTCAATAAAACAATCAGAGTAGAACCAACAATTCCTTCTATCAAACGAAAGCAAATGCCTTCAAACTCTTCTTTCTTCCTTCCATATGCCCAAGGTTAGAAAAAAAGAATGAGGCTAAAGAGTCTTTTTCTTGATTTACATGTCCTAGACCCTGACCAAGCAAAGTGCATCGGCAACCAACCTTAAAACAGCCCCAAGACAAGTTGGGGTGGCTTAAAGCAGAATCTGCCAACCTTCTAGTCTCCAAGAAACAAAGTACGAGATGACTGAACGATTCAAACTCGAAAGATACAGAGGGCAACCACTGCCAATAGTCTTCCCTCTCTTCGTCAAGTTGTCCAAGATAATAATTCTTCCCCAAGCCACTTCCCGAACAAATAAAATAAGATATTATTATATTATAATAATAATAATACTAATCTTAGGTCAACTAGAGATGAAAAAAAATCTGTAACCTCTCAAAATCGATATCTGTCCCGGATTTTAACCGAAACGGAACCAAAGCAGGTCAGTTCGGGACAATCTTTAGTTGGTGAAAAACCGGGAGGGGCAGTTTTGGGTTTAAAAGCAAAAAAACTCATCCGAACCCGACCCACCTTTATATATATCTTTTGTACATGGGTGACACCCCCTTGGTGCCTACTCTAATATATTTTTCTACTTTCTATCTCAAAAAAAATATATATTATATATTTTAAATTTTTTGTTAAAATTATAAAATAATTAATTAATATTAAAAAACCGATTGAACATTCATGCCGTCCTCCCTTGATTTATATATATAATTGTAGATATATATATTATATGAAAGCTGTATATATATATGAGTTGTATATATAATATATATATAAGCTGTGTATATATATACATATAAATGGAATACCCTTATGTATATATATGAGTTATATATATAGAATAGATATATATGCTGCTGTTTATTTAATGCTTCCTTTGGAAGCTTTTCTACTGTGCTGATTGAGTTTAACCCAAAACCCAAATGGTGCAAATAAAATGTCTTTTCTATTAACCCGCTCCAGATATGGAGCTAGTTCGGATGTTTGTTATTTATTACCGGGTTAGATTCGGATTTTGCAAACCCGACTCGAACCAACCCGTTATCATACCTAAGGTCACCATGTAATTTAGGGAACAACAAAACCAATTATATTTCCTTAAGTAAATTTCATATCCTCCCCCAAATCCACGTCCCTCAAATAATAAAATCTTCTCAGTAAAGCTATAGATCACATGAGTCCTTCTCAAGTACATAAGGACAATAAAAACAAAAGGTTCAAGTATCTAAAGACAAGAGATGCCTTTGGTGGCCAACTTCGTGTTCGAATAAGAGGGAATGCTCAAACCTCTCATGTTAGGTTGGTGACATCCTAGTTAATAGAACAATATCTAAATTTACAGAAAATCATCAATCATGACAGAGCATACTGTTGAAAACAATGTTATCGCAACTTATCAAAAGAAAATAATGTGACTTTCAAATTCGTCTAGAATTTTCTTATGTCATTGTATAACTAATATCGACACCCTTCGAAAGTCTCTTGTTCTTTTATCTCCATATACACCAAAGGAAAGTGTGAGGAATAGCTTCTCATACTTATGGTTGAGATACTGTTTCATGCAACCAATTATTTCCTTCTAGACCCACTCAAAATCTAGCTGATACCCGAGAGACTAACAGTTGAGTCACATAGCCTTCTTCCATCCGAACACCATAAGAGTTGGGAGATATGTTGTCTGAAATGCACATCAAGCATCCATAGTTGATTATGTGGCCCCTCTATCTATGAGTGACCCTAACTAGAATATGACCCACACAACCTCCCGCTATACATAGGAAGGCCTCCTGCTGCCAGATTTGTTTTAGCGGGATGCAATCAACTATCTAATACCAATTTAGCA